ATACTCACTTACGACCGGCACATACAGGGTGACAATTTGAAAACCTACCACCCCCCCATATCTTAGTAAATAAACAAGATATTTAAAAAAATCAAAATCCGTTTCGGTAATTCGGAGGGGGAATCACAATTACATAGTTGGCGACGCACCCCCTCACACCCCCTGCGCCCCAGCCACCCCAACTTTTAAATCTTAAATAGTGACCCACATGTGTGATAGGTCGTTGGAAAGCTCTGAAAAAATGCTTTCCAACCATACCAAAACTAATATGATACATTTTCTAAACTTGACTTTTATTTCAATAAATGTTCAAAATGGTTTCCGTTCTTGGTAAGACAGTATTAGTTGATCGCATAGTAATACTGTCTTACCAAGAACGGAAACCATATTGAACATTTATTGAAATAAAATCCAACTTTAGAAAATGTATCATATTAGTTTGTTTTTTGATTTGCACGATAATTACTAACCTAAATGTAATGCTATTTGGTATGGTTGGAAAGCATTTTTTCAGAGCTTTCCAACGACGTATCACACATGGGGGGTCACTATTTAAGATTTAAAAGTTGGGGTGGCTGGGGCGCAAGGGGTTGGAGGGGGTGCGTCGCCAACTATGTCATTGTGATTCCCCCTCCGAATTACCGAAACGGATTTTGATTTTTTTTTAATATCTCGTTTATTTACTAAGATATGGGGGGTGGTAAGTTTTCAAATTGTCACCCTGTATATAAATCATAAACGATTTTTCTTATGCTCGTTATGGTCGTTGCACTACCCAACCAATTGTCATAAATAAAATAGGAGAGATGCCACGAGTAATAGCGAAATACCTGAAACTAGAAAATCCCGATCTATATTCTGGTCACTGCTTTAGACGTTCATCGGCCTCACATTTAGCAACTTACTAGTGGTACTGATTTACTTACATTGAAGCGACACGGTGCGTGGTTGGAAAAGTTCAACTGTCGCCGAAGGTTATGTGGAAGCCTCTAAAAGAAGAAAAATTGAAGTGGCTGAAATGCTTTCTACAAATGAACAAGCATCTTTACCAAGAGTACCCCCTTCCACGCAACATGAATCGTCTCTTACGGATCCTCAACCTGGACCATCGGCTAACACAGCAAATGAAGGAGCTGTGTTAAATGCTCTCCAACATATACCAGGAATTTCTATTAATGCTGGCGATAATACCACAATTAATTCTAATTCTAATTCTAATTCTTGATATCGGAATACTATCATTATAAACGCAAAACAGAGAAAAGTTTTTCCGTGCGCTAGCCTGGAAAAGGCCAAATACCATTATTTCTAATACAGGTGTAAATAAGGTGATTTCAATGAAGTATAATAAAAAATTTAGTAGTAGTAGTAGCAATAGCCATGACTCTTGTTGTTTTATAGCCATGACTTTTGTTGTTTTATGAATTGCTACTAATAACAGAAATGTTGAAATTTATTATTGTAAATTTGCGGGTATATGCTTAATAAAACATGTAAAAACAGTTTTGTATGCGCGTTTTAATTCTGAAAAACTCTGTAAAATGTACAGGAGGGCAGGATATTGCATAAAAGTAATTTCCCATGTTAAATCCCTATGTTCCTTCTTACCGCGCACCACCCGGTATAAGTTTTACATAAACCAAGGTAACTAAAAACTAATCGTGGCCTCGGATTAACAGTTATTGGATTAGGATTCAGGATAGATGTAATTAGTTGAATAATTAAAAGAAAAACAAACTGTAAGTGCAGTGGGATTTGAATTTAATCTTTCTTATCAATTATATAGTAATTTTGTTTCTTCTAACTGTTGGTTTATTTTCTGCTACTCGTATCAAGGGAGGCAGAAGTAAGGCAGAAACGGAGGGCTATCCCATGTTACGCGTTAGACCATGATTCTTTAACTTACCGTTATTGTTGGTCGTGTAATCGCACTGTTCAGAATTATAGACATTGGGAATGTTAGACGAGGATTAACTTATCCTTCTTGTTGGTTGCATAATTGCACTGATCATATTTAAAATTATGGAAAGTGACGTGATAAAATGTGATGTTTTAAACTATTCTTCCTCTTTAAGGTGTAATTACATTGATTGCAAATCAAATTTTTGCAAGTGTATTTACTTTTACGGTCGTAAAATTACTTTTGGCTATTGTATATAAACAAAATGGCGGTCTTATTCAGCCAATTGTAATTAGAATGTGCTGCCCTTGGTGCTGCCACAAGAGCTCTCACTGTTAATCTGAATCGCGAAGAGAGCATTGCATTATGCAATATGTTTATATTTATTTACCTTGTACCTTGAAGTGCCCACCATCTATAAGGGGTAACGTAAAAGAGGGATTCTCGTGTTCAACGCTTCAACCCAATATTCCTTGCAATCTTACTCTTAGATCTATGTAGCCACCTTTAAAACTACCTCTACCGAAATGAACAGATCTAGGTCCTAAGCCTAAAGGACGGTACACACGCTCAGGCGACCTGTCCGGTTGGCCTGAACAGTTAGACCTGTACAGCCAAATCGTAGCGTGTAGGTATATACGAATAAAAGTTGGTCTGTTCAGGCCAACTGAAATCGTCGAACTGACAGGAAGTGATTTCTGCCGAGCACAGAAATTGGCTTGCGCAGTCAGCCAAGACTGAGCGTGTGTATGCTTGGATCGGGCCATTGCGTCAGTCCAAGGTGGTCGCCATTGTGAGCAACATGGAATGTAATAAGAAAAAGGATGCATTTTTAGAAGATTTTATCGAAAATTATAAGGCAAGTTGTGGGAAAATCTACTTCTTTTCAACAGCCACTCTTTGGACCACATCCGTTTTCCTTTGCGTTTTTCTACTTTACGTTTTCCCTCTTCTTCAAGTGTGATAGCACAAGCCACAACAGCTGCACTTAGTAGCAGTAATTCATCGGAATCCATTGTCGCACACGATACAATTCGTACGACACTTATTTATTTATTTCAAAACTGAAAGAAAGCCTGGTGTGCCGTGTGGCTGCAAGTTTGCGCTTCAGGTCTTTGCGCAGGCATAACTGTTCAGGTCAACCGGACAGGCCGCCTGAGCGTTTGTACCTTCCTTACCACAACGTGACGAAAAAACAAGCACGAGCTGTACCACCGACAAGGAATCGTGCTGTCAGAATCAACGGTTGAATTAGACCTTAGAACTCTTAGAAGTGAGTAGTATCATTGAATAACGAAGTCACGGTAGTAGTAAAATTGTTACAGACAGGAATAAATCTGTCCTGAAACAGCTTCAATGCGAGGATGAAATGCATCATTGGCGGAACCTGGGTAATGATCGTAATTCGTACTTATTATGATTCTGTAATAATTGTTTTCATATTCGTACAATCGTTCGGATGGTTAGTGATTTGTGGATCCCTTGCAATAAAATACTGTCTTAATTGGTCATTGTATTACCTACCTCTTAAAATAACAGAAATGTTTATCTAAAGAAGTATAAACGCACGTATACGGTACCTATACGCTCCTGATACCACCGTTCTTGTGTACATCTGCCCCCCCAGGGTGTTCATTATTAATTTTATGTACCTACAAATATCCGAAATATAACTAATAAAAGGCTTTAACAACCCAAAAGTTCATTTTAATATAACTTTTTATCACGTCCATATACCTGCTTTGAGGCGTTAGCTATATTATACACTGCAGGGATTTGATGCCTCAAGTTAATTTCATTAAAATCCGCCCCACTTCGAGTAAATTGTTACACATTCTATTGACGTCAGTGTAATGCGTATAGTCTTCAATTATCATCTCTTGAAGTGGGCGTTAAGATCACGACTAATTTTCTCGTCCATATCTCTGCGTCATCTACGACATCAATTCCACCCTTATTTATTCCGTTACATCTTTACTATCGGAAACGACAATTCGGATGATTTACAATTTAAAGCGAAAAATCAAATTCTATACAGCACATTTCATTCATACGTTACATCTGTGTGACTAAGGGCAATTTAGAATGCGCCTTTCTCCACGAAAGCTTGTGACATAGCATAGATTTTATCTCTTGAAATTTTTACTTCGGAATATTTCGAGAGGATCTGTCCACCATAACTACCTACCTCAATAGAATAAATCCCTTGAAATTTTTTGAATGTACATTTTATATCCCAGATCCCATCACTGAATGTATCCTTGATAACTTGCTAAGTCGCAGGGTTACTATTTTGGTGATGAGGATACGGTGAGAGTGTGGCACAATTAAATTAAATTTCCTGCAAGTGTATGCAATATCACGACTCTACGGAGCGAAACTACTCCGACGCTGGTAGAATAATCGTTCAGACATTGCAGTTGCAGTCTCGGTGGCCTCCCAGACATGAAACAGAGAAAAATTACAAGGAGCTACCATTATTCTTGAAAGTCGTTTGCCCGACGGTTACAATAATTAAAAGATTTGTTCATGAAGCCTTTTCTAAATATATTCAATTAAGGGCAAAATTTGCATTTCTTCTCTAATTTTTTTCTCAGCAGCCAAACAGTTGCAAAGACTCGTGGTACGCTTTGAATAGATTTTGGGGTATGCGCTTTCGCACTTTTCAAAAACAAATTAAAATTTCTACCACGAAATGGCCACTCCTAAATTGGGGTGCACAAACAGTTCTACAAAAATTCGACGAAATTTGATATAGGGGGTTTTAAACATGAAAATTAAAAAAATATTCGAAAATATTCGAAGGTTAGGTTTTCATTTTTACTTGTGTAGAAAAAAAAGTAAAGGGTGTTAAAATTTTGAAATCCCATGCAACTGCAAGCTATACGCCAAAATTATAAATATTAAATAACCTCATTTTGTTTTTACTATTAAATAAATTTTATGGTGGTTGTTAGTTGGTAGGTACTACTGAATTGACATAAAATTGCCAGAAAAATAGAACATTGACATTTCACTTAACCCTTAATTCGTAAAGCTTTGTCTAATTCTATTCAGTGCGTTTACGATGTCATCGAAAGCAGAAGGGTTTTCAACAGTTTCAGGGACCTAAAAACACAATAGGGAGATATTTTGTTATCCAAGAAATACATACTGTGAGTAATTGTTTATTTACCAATTTCGAAATGATCTTTCTGCAGGTTTTCCCAGATCTTGTCCGCGGTAGATCTTTTACCGCCGCTGTTAGCTTTAAATCAACGACTGGACCAATAGTTCCACGAACTTTAGTAACCAGCTCATCTCCGACTGCTTTTTCACATTTATCCGAATCTAACAATAACATCATGTCTAATTAAGTGAAGCAGGCTTGGATGTATATCTTGGTCACCTTTTCTCAAAACAAAAAAGCAAATTGGTATTTGCCCTTTTATAGGTTCCGATACACCTACAACTGCAGCGTCTGTTACATCAGAGTGACTCATAACTACATCTTCAATTGCTGCTGTTGAAATTCGATGACCAGCGACATTAATTACATCATCTTCGCGCGCAGTTATGTACACAAATCCAAACTCATCAATGAAACCAGCATCCATAGTGTCGTAGAATCCCTGCGAATAAATATTATGGAGTTATAGGCGTTTGTTTTTTTGATAAGTTTACAGGAAATTGCCTAAAGTATAAATCGTAAAACGTCATTGATGCCTTGTATAGCGTGCTCATCACTCCCGGTGGTAGAGGAAGTTTTATCACTATTCGCCCCATTTCGTAAGGTTTTGCCTCAGTGCCATGGTCTGCGACCACTCGTACTGTAATTAAAGCATTATTAGCTAAATGTCCTTATCGCATATTACCTACCGTCGTAGCCTGGAAGTGGTAAACCTACAGATAATTTAGGCGGATTTAAGCAATGGTCAAGACCCACGCATGTTGCCGTAATAGGATGGCCAGTTTCTGTTTGCCACCAGTGGTTTAATACTGGGACTCTAAATGAATGTTGGGCCCAAAGTCGGGTTTCGTGGTCAAGATGTTCACCAGCTACGAATAACTGCCTTAAACTACTGGTATCATACCTGCGCCCAATATTGGAGTATGGGTCCTCTCTTTTGATGACTCTTAAAGCTGTTGGAACCGTGAATAGTCCACTTACACGATATTTCTCTACAATACTATCACAACTAGTCAAACTGGCCTACAAAAGTCGTAATTCTGTTACCGAAAGTATTGAGCGGCATCAGGAGTTCGATCCGGTTTTCCTTCGTACAAAATACTTGTCATGCCGCATAACAGAGGTGCGTAACACATATATGAATGACCCACCACCCACCCGAAATCACTAGTCGTCCACCAAACGTCGTCACTCTCCATTCCGTACGTATTCCTCATTGTCCACGTTAGTGCTACCAAATGACCTCCAACAGGCCTCTGTACTCCTTTTGGTTCACCTACGTACTCGATTAGTGACTTAATTAAAGTATAAGATTACTCGAATGTACCCGTTGTTCCTGACGTATATAAAATGTACAGGGGATCATTTGATTCCACTGCTACACATGGATGGGGCTCGCTACCACTTAGAGCTGCCTCCCACAAAATATCTAGATCGTTATCTAATATAACATTTTGTATATCCCGCCTTTCAAATATGATGCATTTCGCAGGCTTAAACGAGCTCATCCTAATGGCTGCATTAAGCATCTCCTTATAACTAAGGGCATTAATGTTAAAGCGCATATAACAAAGTAAGTAGGTACTTACTTTATTACTTTGTTTGGTTCCATGCCACAGTTTGCAGCTATAATCACCTTTGGGCGTACGTGTTCTAGTTTACAAGCAAGCTGTGCACCCGCAAAACCTAAAAGAGTGCATAGTGTACTTGCTACCAGTTTAGAAAGATTTACCTCCAAATACAAGGGTGTGAACAGCACCTAGCCGAACTACTGCCAAAATAGCAATAACAGTTTCACAGATAATTGGCATGTATATTACAACCCTGTCTCCTTTGCGTACTCCAAGTTTGCTAAGAGCACCAGCCAATCGGGAAACCTGCTTATCATAATTCTTCAAATAATACGCAGAGCTATAGTAATACCTTATCTAGAAGTTCGGCGTACGTAACTCTAGTTTCGGAAAACGTCAGTGGGCTCTCGTGAATAAGCGCAACTTTCTGCCCTTTTCCATTTTCTACATGACGGTCAACAGCATTATAACAAGCGTTCAGTTCACCTCCAACAAACCTTAAAGGTTATTAAACATCAAGTTATAATATTTTTTTGGAATAGATCCGTAAAGGATTAAATAACCGAAAACAATGCATTACTTTCTCATTAGTGATTGTTACCTCTACTGTGTAAAGGCTTTTTTGCGCAAAATTTTCCTTTTAGCTTCAATCAAATAAAGAGCAATAATTGCTGGTTCGTTGAGCATCAGCTGGTAGTAGCTAAGCATTAAATGGCATTACCAAGGAACAATTCACCGAGCGGCAACGTGGTTGGAAGTCTTGAATAGGCAGTTATGCTGGTTTGTTTGGCCACTAACATTCGCTAACAAAGTATTAATGATTGTTTACAAACTGGTCCAAATTAAATGTTAAGGAAATAATGTTAGGTGGTTTATTGAGCACCAAAATGGCACTAGCAATTTTCAAGTGCTTAGTAGATGAAAACCGTGAAGTTGGCTCGAACCAGAAGATATGTTCTTGCAAGATCAGAATGGTGCGCTAACTTTGGTTTATAGAGTATTGTAGTATTCGCGGAGTGCTTGCACAATTTTGTCTTTCTAGAACCGTTTCAGAAGCCTCTTTAAAAATACTCCCAAATAATGTCCAAACTACAAGGTTCAACAACATTGAAATTAAACTAACAAGTGAATGACTACACTCAAGAAGAACAACAACCCAGCTTGTAAGTGTAAAAACTAAATTAAAAATTGAATACTTCTAAACTGTAGTTAGAGAATTAAAAAGCATTAAAGGGGTAGTATACCCAAAATCAAAAAAATTGTAGAAGAAAATCTAAGAACAAAATTTCAAACCGGAGTTTTCTACGATGAGTAGTTTTCAAATTATTAACGATGAAAGTTTGAAAGACAGAACATGTGACGTCATCCCGACATCGTGGGTGCGGCGGCACGGATCCAAGCAGTCCGAACGCGTCAGTTCTTTCATATTCTATTTCGATTTCCTTTGAAAAAAAACAAGAAAACCTTACTGAAGTATCATCCGAACATATATCCTCATATATTTGTTAAATTTCTGTACCCAGCTCACATTGGATACCTATGCTTTCAGTAAGCGTTATTGGTTCCATTTGATTCAGTTCTTCTGTTTGATTGTGGCATATGTTTGATGTTGAACTGGTTTCTCCACTACGAAATTGATCGTTTACCCACAATAAGCAATCAGACACAGTCTTACTTTCTTAGATAAGTTGACTGACGTTTTATAGCTTTATTAGGACCTTTGTTTCCTGTGAGATGTAAAGAAGGGATTGCAGTATTGTCAGCCTTCTCAAAACTTTATGCTGAGGCACAGGGTCCTTTCCTTCTTGTATCTTCCAAAAAAAAATTATCATCTTTAAAGTGAGCACTGCAAACGACGTGACTATACTATGATTTAGCGGTTTTTTCTATTTTTCCAGACTTTATTTCGACACGGCTCCTTCTTTTCTTGGGGAAAGTTTGCAATGTAACATGGGCATTTTTCCAATTATTGTTGCAGCGGATAACACAAACTTAGGCATTTTTGAAAATAATGCAGATCGCTGAGTACCAGTCTCAAATTAACACGTCAAACGTAATCGAATCCATATATTGCTATAGCGCGCCACCGACCCATTTGTCGGGATGACGTCACAACGACCGTTTTTTACATTCGACACCTTGCCATTTAATAACGAAACGGCGTAGCAACTTGCGGTTTTCACCGTTACTCTTAGATATCTTTAATCTATCTTTAGACGAAAACATGAAATTTAGGTATACTGCCCCTTTAAATCATAACCTATAAGAATACCTTAAAAACGATTCTGAAGAACTTCTGAAAATTTTCCCAAAGAACGTCTAAACTAAGTGTCCTTGATTTTGAGAGACCACAACATAAAAATATTTTCAACGAAATTGCAGTTGTTATACAGGATGATTTATATCAAAGTTGCTGTTTTTACTGGAATCCCCTGTATATTATTACATATTTTGATTCCTTGGTCAATTTTAGTGTGAATTTATGTATTACACATGATATCTAAAATGAGTAGTTTAGCCGCAATTCGTCGTTTTTTCAAAAAGTAGATGTCCAGCAAAAATTGAATATCGCAGTTATCATTAAACTGAGAAGACCGTGACTTGGCAGTATTACTAATCATGAAATGTACTAACATACGCCGAACGCCTAAAGTTAAACTTATTTTGTGTTAAAAGAAATCACTCCCTCAATTGTCAAAATTTCAGTCAATGGTAACTTTGTTTGTTTTTTGTAATGGAACTACCAAGTTTTTTTTATGGCATGAAATGTAGGATTTTATTACCTTTCTAACGAATTTAAGCATGTGGGTATGTATCTCTTGCCTATTTTTTGTAATTCAACAATTTAATAAACCCATAAAGAGCGTTTAAAAAAGCGGCAGAGCACCTCGGTGTGACCCCACGGAGTCATTGGATTTGACCCATTTTCAATTGGCTTGTTACATGTGGTATATATTTAACTGTGCAAAGTTTGAACCGAATAGGTTCAAGCGCTTTCCAGAGACAGAGAGGGGTGACCCTACGGGATCATTGGATTTGACCCATATTCAATAAACTTGTTACATGTGTTACAGACGGACAGACGGACACCATCGACTCCTCTATAAAACTTTCATCCCTTTGCTCTGCCGCTTAATAACATCTGTCAATTTACTTCATTGGCATTTATAATTCTGTTGTTGATTAATTAAGTTAATTTGTTAGAAAAATGGAATTTGAATAACATATTTTAAACGGGTCTCTTTACTATAAATTTTTAAGTAGGTACTCAATTATTTGCTCTACAAAATGTTCTGATCCACGTCGTAAAGGAAATGTGGTTTCAGCACGACGGTGCCCTACCTCATTTTGCTATAAACGTTAAAGAATGGCTGAATCAATCATTTCCTAGGAGGTGGACAGGTCGATGAGGCCCTATAAATTGACCAGCGCGCTCTCCAGACCTTACACCACTTGACTTCTTCTGATGGGGGAACTGTATGCAAAGAAGTCCCAACAACAAAAGAGAATATGAAAATGCGCATTCATAATGCTTTCGTATCCATAACGCCAGCTACGCTTCGTCGTGTAAAAGAATAATTTTCTAAAACCATTAATAAATTTTTGGTCTTGAATATTTATTGAAATAATTGTTATTTTTCTCTTTATTTTAATTTAAACATTTTATTGTGATTTTTATCGTTTTCGAGTTTTTGTTTTGTTTTACCTGGTTTTATGTGAACGAAGTTTTTTATAATTTCAATTGTTTATAATTTTTAATGGCCTACTAATTACTGAGAGGCTTTGAAACTTGAAAAACACTGTGAATTATTTAGAAATTGTTGAATTACAAAAAATATGTAAAAGATAAATACCGGCATGCTTATATCGTTAGAAAAGTAATAAAATCCTACATTTCATGCAATAAAAAAACTGGGTAGTTCCATTTAAAAAAATCAAATTACCTTTGATTGAAATTTTGAAAATTGACGGAGTGGTTTCTTTTAACAAAAAAGAAGTTTAACTTTAGCAGTTCGGCGTATGTTAGTACATTTCATGATTAGTAATACTGCAAAGTCACGGCTTTCTCAGTTTTAACTGCGATATTCAATTTTTATTGGACATCTACTTTTTGAAAAAACGACTTATTGCGGCTAAACGACTCATTTTAGATATCACGTGTAATACATAAAGTCACACTAAAATTGACCAAGGAATGGAAATATGTAATAATATACAGGGGGTTCTATAAAAAAATGCAACTTTGATATAAATCACCCTGTACAACCATTGTCATTTCGTTGAAAATATTTTTAGGTTGTAACCTTAAGGGCCCTTCAACATGCCCGGACAATAAATTATAAATATGGGTGTTAATAAACCCACAATATTCCGCCCACACACTAATGGCCCACCCTGTATAAATCAATGCCATTATATGTTTGACTTATCGCAAAAATTTTGTGGCACCATACATACGAACAATGTATTTATTTTACCATTTAGTAAACGGTTCATTGGAATTATCCATTACTTTCCTCCAAGGTTTAGTCCAGACCAGTTGTCTTCCAATTTCGCCCCAAAATTCTTCAGGATTTTCCAAAGATCTTCTGTAGCAGTCATTATATTTCCTGGATCTATAGATATCTGTAAAACGACAGATCTTTTTTAACATATAATAAATTACTTATAATCATTTTAAATCATAAGATGTGTAGAAAGCAACATACTAACAAAAAACAACAGACTACTAGATGTAACAAATTATTTAAGAATTATTGAATTGTTTGAAAAGATTTAACCTAACATTGGTCGCAAATGGTCTTAGAAATCGACCCGACCTTAAACTTAAAAATAAAAAAAAAGCACCATACAAAAGCAATTTTTGCAAATATTTAACAGTCGCCAGCTGGCATTTTCAACTTTAAACTCTCTAGTAATTTTCCTACTCATTTAAATAACATTTTCAATTTTGATTTAGATTTAGTCACGCATGAAGGTTCGAGTGTATGTATGTAGGTATGTATGTATGACTGTATAATATAGTAAACGACAATTGTTCTAGGATGTTTTTAGAATGCTTCGGAATGTTCTAGAATGAAGACGTCATTTTTCCCAGAAAGATTGCGTCGCTCTTTGTTGCCGATGACTAATCTTTCCAGGCGCCTCCATGTTTACCGAGATACCTGAAATATTCGCTACAATACAAATGCCTTGAAAAATACTGCCTTGTTTTAAAGCCCATTTTTGTAACATTGGATCTCCACGAAGGGGAAGTAATTTATTTTACATTTATACTGCCAAGTATTGTGTCTAAAAGTAAAACGAAACAATCCTAACAATTTGCATTATAGTGAAGATGACTACCGCAGTAGTGGATAAATAGTGATTTATAAACTGCGTATTGGAGGGAAAATAAAATAGTAGAGATGTACATTTGTCCATCGGTCCAAAACAGTAAAAACGAACACCTTTAGATCTTGCTCTTATAAATTTGGTCTTACAAACGGGTACCCTCGCTTGCACCCACATGTTTTTAACTTGCCATAATCCAATCGTCAATCAACGCGATTCTTACATGGATTCCTTTACGCTGCACTGGCCATTCAGTAAGCAATACTGATCAAATATTAATTGGACGAGATTACAGCTTGTCATATGAACCCATTTACGTCAATTAGAAGAAAATAGACATTGTTAATAAAGTATTAACAAACAACATAATATTATTATATAAGTAAATCTATGGAGATGCCTACAGGCATATTATTTAAAGCAAAGAAATTTTCCACAGTTACTATAATATGAGGAGCAATAGAAATTTGTTTAGTAAATTTATCTGATCTGAAATTCAATAATGGCGGAAAATTATACCATTATTGTAAATAAAAAACTAGTTGCCAAATTCTTGACAGAGCAGCTTCCTAACTTTCCCGACAACGGCAATACACCATTGAAAACAGCGGTTGTCGTCCGATCGCCGAATTTAAACAACGTCGGGCGCGGTCAGTATTTGGATGGGAGAACGCTTGGGAACACCTCTCTTTTTTTAAATGTTTGCTCATGTTAGGCTACTGATTTTATTTATTTTTTTATTTTAATGCGTTGCTAAGGGCCCCTGGTTCGAATCCGGGTTCGGGCATGGATATTTGTAAATGTTGGGTTGGTAGAGCAGCTTTGGCTGAAACCCCGCCCACTCAAAAATAAAGGCAAAATAATTAGAATTAATTTAGTTTTGCTGAAAAAAATATGTTGGGTTTCTAACTTTGACATTTTTGTCAGTTTTTTTTTTGTAATAAAACCTGGCACAATATTGATAGGTTGCACACAAAAAAATAAGTTCTTTCCAATACCTCAATTTTAAGTTTCTTTTTGGAGAAAAAACTTCGATGCCGTTGGGGTGGCCCAAAACTTTTTTTTTAAAATCCGACCTGTTATTTTTCGTTTCCGTATGCCTAATACATATCTAAAATTTGAACCGAATGCGTCGAGCCGTTACCTCGGAAAATTGCCAAAGTACGCACGTACATACAGACGAACAAAATTTTCTTTGAAAGTTGCTTAAAATGAACGGTTACATTTGATGAAATTTGGACATGTTCAAAAAACGGTGACCGCAATGGCTACCTACTGGCTCGTGCTAGGAACTAAAAACTAATAATTACTACAACTTGCCTTCAGTAGTGCAATATTCTTCTTGCTGTGGAGATCGTATGAAACCCACATCCTGCTTTCTTACTAGTTTTCCCATTCGGTTTTCTAGTTTACTTATAGACATGGTTACTTTAAACTAATAATTAAATTCCAGTTATGGCCAATAACTATATGCTATCTCAATTTCAAAACTATGGAAGAGCTGAAAAACGTAAATAATTATAATCAAACTTGCGGTTTGTGTATGTATTTATGACATGGATGGGTAACGAATATTTTGAATGTCCATTATTAGTTTAAATAATTGAGCACTATCTACACTCTGACAAGAATAAGAAAACAAATACCTTGAAATGTAACAAGAAAAACAGATATCATATATGATTTTTTTCTCACACTAACAATACATCTATGGAATTTAAGGGTTTATCAATTTCCCACGGTTTTACTATAAAGAGATGGCGATTAAACTGTACCTGTACCTACTTTAAATATATTGCTATCGGTTCCTATCTTCAAGGTGTGGGTAAAATGCTACCTCACTATTTTCATAATTTCATAATCTTGCTGCTTACCACCCCTACGCCGCAGTTTATCTCACAATTACCCATAAATTATGCATGTTTTGAATTTCTCGACTTGCTATCATACTTTTGCACTGCTCACTTTGATTAACTATCACCTATCTAAATAGTACATAACCCAAAGTTTCTTCTGATAAATTTATACACATTGATTATCTTCTTTATTACTTTACTTTGAGTTACATTAATTAAAGATTTATGTACCTATCCTAAAGCAAATTTTAAGTGAATTTAAATAATGATACCGTCAATTTAAAGTCAATAAAAAATTGTTTTTGTTAGGAGTTTAAACTAGAGTTTAAACTTCAGACTCATAGTCAAGGTAGCTTAGTACTTGCTACTTGTATATCTTTTATATAGGGGTATATAGGGAATAGAGACGTAAAACAAGAAAAAAGTGTTGTGTTACTTTATATAGAAAAACAGTTATACAGAGTCACTATTAAAAATGGAACCAAACTCTGACGTCGCTCAAACCGTACGCAAGCGTATGGCAAGGGTTTTCTAATTTTTCTGAATTATTTTCTAATTTAACACCATACATATTAGATAGTAAGAAAAATAAAACAAGCAAAAAGGTTCTCGCCCTAAAGCGAGTAACTTCAGCGCATTTTCCATGAATGATCAGTACTTCCCAAAAGGCCATTATGCTATGTGCGCCTGTGATTTTCTTTACTAAAGGCATATATGGTTAAAATTTCAAAGAAATATCTCCAAAAACAAAAAAGTTGGCGTTGCGCAGTTCGCGCATGAGCACATTTAATTTAATCTATGTATGCGATGTTTGTTTTTACTAGAAGCGTATATGGTTAAACTTTAGAGAGAGATTTTCATAAGTAAAAAAGTTGGCATTTTGCAGTCTGCGCATGCGTGGATTTGATTTTTACTATGTGCGATATGTTTGCTTTTCTTAATGACATTTGTAGTTTTCGATTTTTACTAGAAGCATTTATGGGTCAAATTTCAAAGAACTATCTTGATAAATAAAGAAGTTGGCACTGAATGCGCATGCGCACTTTTAAATTTTGCAATATGTTATGTTTGCCTTTAACAGAGGCATCTGTGATTAAAATTTCAAAAAGATATCTCGATAAATAACAGTTGATATTGCGCATCCTTCGCATGCACGCATTAATCTGATGTTTACAATATGCGATACATTTGCTTACACTAAAAGCAACTTTGGTTACAATTTCAAAGAAATATCTCCATAACCAAGAAAGTTGCCATTGCACAGTATGCGCATGCACACATCTGATTTTCACTACATGTGATATGATTGCCTTCACCAGAAATATCTGTGGTTAAAATTTCAACAAAATATATTAATAAAGTTGACATTGCGCAGTCTGCACATGCGCAGTTTAATTGTCAAGAGTTTCCTTGGCTCAGGTGCTAATACGCTACCGAATGCAAAAAGAACTTAATATCTTCAAAACGGTAGGAATAGTTAAGGCCTCGGACAGACGGACGGACAGAGAAAGTGGCTGCAATAGCGCACCCAACTTCGTTTGAAAATGCGCTAAAAATTAAGTTTCTATAATTGCATATCAAATGACCTATGTTGTCAAAGAATCTTGATCTTAGTAATCATATAGTCCACTAAAGTAAAATTTTGCGTTTAACCTCAATCAACCGCTTAACCTTTTCGAGTTTCCAAGTTATGCGAAACTACACAAATAGTAAAGTAATACAGAAATTGAAATGATTGCTGCTCGTAATTCCGCAATCATGTACATTGTGCAAACGGTTTCGATAGGTATATCACGTGTTTCAGGTGACTAAATAAAAAGTAGTCCAAAGGAGTAATGGTCCGGTGATCCGGAGGTTATTTCCGAATTTGATCATCAAAGTGGTCCTGTACAAATCTTATTGTTGCGGGTGACGTATGTGCAGTTGCGTTGTCATGTTGGAAAAACCTTCTAATTCGTCATTGTGATCAATCAACACCTACAACATGCCACGATAACGTTTCGTATTAACCATATCGTCAAAAAATATTGATCCCAAAATCCGCCGTATATCGCTATCCACACGTCTACTTTAAGAGGATCAAGTGGAGCTTCCTAGTACAATAGTTTTGGGAATTTAAGTAGCCATGGCACCATGCTTCGTCAGAAAAATGTCTTGTCCAATACGTTATCTCGTAGATTTGCAATGAACCAATTGCAAAAATGTACACTGCGTTGCAAGTCTGGACGATGTGGTTCTTGTAACACAGTTACTTTGTAAGGGCAAAAGAGCAATTTTCTGGGGACACTAGTGTGACCCGTTCCGTTTGGGAATCCCGTTTGTCGGGCCAATTGTCGCGGCGGCTCTTTAGGACTTTGTTCCAGATGAGCAGGAACATCTTCTACAATAGTGTAACTGGCTAAATTGAAGGAAAGGTATAATTTCGGGGTACCAATTTTAATTTAATAAAATTAAATCTTGAGGTTTTTAGTTGTAGCAACTGCTGGACGTGTCCTGAAAAAATTATAATTATTACGTACAAGGTATTGTTAGGTAGTCTTGAATTTAAATTGAGCAAGCTGGACAGGTGTGTACGTGGGTGGTGTAGTAACCGTTTGTCATTGCTCATACCACAGACAACATAGTATATGTTGTCTGTGCTCATACCAATCTTCATCATTTGGTACTTTATCTGGTGTTATTCTGAAGTATGGGAGGTAACAAGATTTATGAACATGCCTCTGCAGCTACAATATCTCTAGACGCTACTGCAATGGTTTTTTGATTTCGTTTTTCTCCAGCAATTTCTCATCAGTGTTAAGGTGGCGTTTATAAAAAGTGCAAAAGTTGCCTTACGATTTCCTCAATAATTTTGTTTTGAGCTAAAAAAATTAACTTCTGTTAACGACCGATGGCTGCTAAAGGTTTAAGCTTGTGAATGAAGTTAAATTTGTAAACAAATTTTTATCAGTGTGTGATAAAAACGAAAGATATATATTTTATATGGGAGTTTTTTAAGAACTTCTTTCCTAAATACCGCGAAAGTACAGGAATTGGCTAAATACTTTTTGTTTCATGCAAATGTCGGAACATTATATATTCGAATGAATGTTATTTCAACCAAAAATGTATACCCAGAAGGAAGTTATTGTAGAAACAAGTTTCCCCTTTTCCAATGTAAACGCCACCTTAAGGTGAAGAACCTAAAGTAATGGTTCCCCAGATCGGCTTTTCTTCTTATATTTATATTGAATTCATAGCCTTGATTCTTCTCGTTTCAAACGCTTCCGGGTCGGTTGTGATGAGTTCTGATGCATTCTGTTTATAGTTTTTTTAAGCCTTGATATTGGTAAAATTATTTGATTAAACGAACTTACCTAAGTGAAGTTCTGATCATAATTGTATTATTCAACTCTCCGAATAGTTCAAATTATGTAGTACCTTGTTAAGCGTACGAAATCCACACATGTTTAAAAGAAAAGGAATAAAGTTTCCTCTCCCTTCCTACGCGACCCGAGTAGTAGGTCGCTCCTGGGCTCATTAAGTGACAAGCAAATCGTAATCGAAGATCAGCTTACAATGGGTCGGGTGGGACAGGGTTTGAACTATTCGGAGAGTCGAATAATACAATTATGATCAGAACTTCACTTAGGTAAGTTCGTTTAATCAAATAATTGTATTGCTTCGACTCTCCTTTAGTTCAAATTATGTAGAGGTTTGAAGCCGATTACGATTTAAGAGTAATAAAATTCGAAGTTAGACAAGGACCGCTTTGGCAAAATTGTCTAGATCTAATATCGGAATATTGTAAAACTTTGCAAAGACTTGTGAATTTTCGGTCCAACCAGCCGTATTGTATATTGTTTGGATGTTTAATCCTGATTTAAAAGCCGTCGATGTGCTGGCATGGCGAGTACTGTGTGCTTTGAAAATAGAAGTATTAACGCCACTGTTCTTTAGTACACACTTTATCCAGCGGGCTAAGGTTTGCGTTCCGACCACTTTGTGGGGTTTTTTAAACGATATAAAAAGACTATCTAAATTATCCCTTATACTTTGAGTTCTTAGAATGTATTTTAAAAGCGAGGAGGCTGGACAAATATTTTTATTTTTGAAAAAAGGTAAGGTTAATACAGGTTGGAATTTATTGACTCTCGAAGTTTTAATTGGTTCTGGGATAAAAATTTCGATTCTATTATCTGAAACTTTGATGTTTGAAATTTTAATATAACTTAGAGTTTGTAATCTCTGTGCCGTTGCTAAAGCAAGTAACGTTAAAACATTCATAGACAAAGTTTTTAAGTTAACGGAGTCCCCATCAAATTTTTCTATATATCCTAGTACCAAATTCGGGTCCCACATGACTTTATATTTAGCAGTTGGGGGTCTTAATCTAGACACTCCTTTGAAAAATCTTACAATATTTAAATCTGAACCAATATTGGCTCCAACTATAAGCGAAATGGCTGACCTCATGCTATTTAAGTTGCTGTACGATCCTCCTTAGTCAAACTCTGTTGTTAAAAATCTCAAAATCTCCCGCAAAGGTGGATTAAAGAAATTACAATTTTGAGAACAGCAAAAAGTCCACCATTTCTTCAGATTACTGCTGTACTGGCTTTGGCTTGATTTTGAAAGGGAAGCAATAGAAATGTCTATCGCTTCGTTTGGAATTTTCCTTTGTAAAAAAGCTTCCCTGACAACTTCGCAGAAACCAGGGAAAGGCTTCTTCATAGGGGATGAGGTTTTTGACTGGAAGATAAAAGTTTTTTGTTGGGATTAAAAAATATCGGTGTTTGTATCCATAAAGAAGTAAATACAGCCCACCAAACTTGTGAGGGCCAATAAGGAACTACCATAATTCCCTCTGCTTTTTCATTTATAATTTTCCTTAAAACCTTTAAAATTAAGCAAAAAGGCGGAAAGGCGTAGAAATGCCAACGAGTCCAGTTAAGAGTAAACGAATCTGTACATAGAGAATCAGGATCTTTGTTCCAGGAAATGTAAACATCACACTTGGCGTTAGATCTACTGGCAAAAAGATCTAGGTATATTTGGGTTGCCAAAACTTTCTACAATTTTTTCAACGCATAAGTAGCTAACGAATACTCGCTTTCGTTCTCTCCTAGTCTGGATTGAAAATCTGCTTCTACATTATCCTCAGAATAAATGTGAGCGGCAAACATAAATATTTTTCGTGTCTCACACCAAGACCAGATTTCTTTGGCTAAATTATTCAAGTGTTCGAACTTTACTCCTCCAAACTTATTAATATAAGAAACCGCCGTTATATTATCTATCCTTAACAGAATTTCGCAGTCGTGCAAATTTTTGGCGAAGCATTTTAACGCCAAAAAGGCTGCCAGTAACTCTAAAGTGTTTATGTGCCAATTTAACTCTTCTAATTTCCAAGTGCCTTTGATACTTTCGTTATTACAAAAAGCACCCCAACCTGATTTTGAAGCGTCTGAAAATATCACTAGTTTATTATAATTGAAAGACCTTATTGGATTAGGTACACAAAGATTCTGGAGCCACCACTCCAAATCACAACTTAGATAATCAGGAAATTTCATGAAAGCTTTATAATCGTTGTTATTTAAATTGAATTCTATGAATTTCCGTCGTTCTAGTGATTTTATATGGGCCTTCCCGAACCGAACTCCTGGGCAACAAGCAATTAATTTCCCGATTAAACTAGCGAATTCCTCAATTGAAAGATGTTCAATCCTTCTGACACGTTTTAAAGAGTTCTGTATAACCTTGATTTTTTCTGTTGGAATCGCTAAGGTTAGAGAACGTGAGTTAAACAGAAACCCTAGATATTTACAACTTTGAGATGGTAGTAAATTACTTTTTTCGTAGTTAAACAAAAAACCCAAACTAATTAATAAATTTGAAGTAAATTTCACATTGCTTAAGCACTCTTCGAAGGAATTTCCCAATAACAAAAAATCATCCAAATAAATTGTGGAAAGCAAGCCATTTTGGCGCAAATAAGAAACCACTGGTCTTAAAACTTTGGTAAAAACAAACGGAGCTATATTAAGTCCGAATGGCAAGCAAGGTAACTGATATAAGTCATTATTAAATAAAAACCGAACATATTTCCTTGAAGAAGTGTGCAAAGAAATCAGGTAATATGCGTCTTTCAAGTCTAGAGAGCACATGTAGCAATCTTTATTTAAAAGACTCACGGCACTACGTCAATCCTTCATTTTAAAATGAGGGCATGAAATGAATTTGTTTAAATGTTTTAAATTGATTATAAATCTAAACTCTCCATTAGGTTTTGGGGTTATAAAAATCGTTGAAATAAATTGGCCGTCCACTGGAGAGCAGCGTTCAATTGCTCCTGAAGAAAGTAAATTTGCAATAAGTTTTTTAATAATGAGTTTTTCACCAGGCGGCCAATTTCTTTCTGCTGGAATATAATTTTGCAAAACATTGCTTATAGGTATTTTAAAACATACGCTAAAACAAAAGCGTCGTTTGTAATTGTCTCCCAACTATCAATAAAAAGAGATAGTCTTCCTGCAATTACACTTACAGCATTTAAAGATGTCGCCTTGACACTGGCCCCTTTTTGGATCGTTGAAACTTGTTGAACGATGATTGATTCTGGACTCTGCGACTATGTGTTGGACGGTAATTCCCGCCTGGGGTCCTGAAAGGTTTTTGACGAGACACCGGCGGGAACTTCTGGTTTTTTGAGACCGTGGACTTCGGAAAAGAGGGCCTAAATGATTTCTTAATTTGTAGGTCTAAAGAGACTTTCTCTATCTGTTTTGCCGACTTAATGGTTTCATCAAAATTTTCTCAAAAAAGAAAACTATCAATTGGAGCGTTGTCCATTACCTCTTTTACGTTTTCATTTAAGTTTGCTTTAACCAGATTTCTACGAATGAGACTTTGGTTGTGGTGTAAATCCGCTAATAATTTTGCAGAATCGTTTAAAAACTCCACCAAATTGACGTCAATGTTGTTATTGTCTCGTGATAAATAAAGCGTTAAGCGGCCGCAATTTTTTGTTGATTTGCCAATAACTTAGCATCACGATCTCGCAAACTTTGTACAAGACATTTTCGAACTGATTCATTAAGCACGGGTGGCTTAAATAAAGAGCAATTATTAGGTGGTGGGTATTTTTTAACTAAAGAATCACACGATTCTGCGGAAAGGCCGTTTTGTAAAATACGCGTTAAATTAACGCTTAAATTAGTTTGTAAATCAGCATCGCAAAATAATTCATGGTCAGAATCTCCACCGATTAAATGTAAAATGTCATTACTCAACGCAATGGGATCTTGTCCGGTATCGCAATCAGGAACATGAGCTGGCGAGGAAACAAAGACGCCATTGTCTGCTTCAAAGTCGTCGCAAACTCCGTCGCTGCTCCCCTCAACGTCAACGGCCGCGACAGCCTGTTGGTAAGGTAAAGGAGAAGGCCTCTCCACGTGCCGAATAAAGTCAACCGTCGGGGTCACTAAAAACCCAACAAATATTCCAGTATTAGACTACAGTCTAATTTTACGAAAAAAATCTACAGATTTTTCCGTCTAATGCGCCGTTCTAGATTACAATCTAGCTTCGTATAAAAATCTACAGATTTATATACGGAAAGAAAGAGCGGCACTTACAAATGCCGTCCTCGCTGCTGGTGGAAGCATGCCGTTTTCGTTTCAATCGCTTCTTCAGCTTCTTCACTTCCAAATCTAAGTTAGAAATATCGTTTAAATATTTCCTTTTACGCCATGATGATCGTAACTGCGTCTAAAACGTGAAACACAATGTAGACGTCGTTACACACAAAACAAGAATGAGCCCAGGAGCGACCTACTACTCGGGTCGCGTAGGAAGGGAGAGGAAACTTTATTCCTTTTCTTTTAAACATGTGTGGACAAGGTACTACATAATTTGAACTAGAGGAGAGTCGAAGCAATACAATTGGCTCTATATTTACGATGGTATTTCACAGTGTACAATAGTTCGTCCGATAGCTCTTCTAGTTTAGTAAGAGGGTCGAAATATCTTATTAATTCCTAAGATTGTGACGGATATGGGTTTTGGACGACGATTAAAGACTTTAAAATGATTTTATTCCACTCCGCACAAAATAAGTTGTACTAAATCACGGAAGAACTGACGTATTAGTACTTTTTCTACTGCATTTGAGGTATCTGAGGAAGGACATTACTTCTGTGACAGAACTATGAATTTAAAAATAAATAATTAAAATTTAATTTGAAAGTAAGTAGTCGAATTGGGACATTTGATATTATTTATTTTTATTTTTTAATTCATAGTTCTGTCACACTTCTGACCACGACTGTTCTTTGTAAGTAGTTATTCTGTAACTTTACATTTGTTACTTATAGACACTATTAATTTACAGAAAAACACAATTAATATAAGTCGTAGAAAAAATCAGAACACTTAACTAGTCACTTTTTTAAATCACTTATTAACAGTCGATTTTATCGAAAAAGTGTTTATGACCAAATTTGAAGCACATATAAAGAGCTTTCATTTAAAAAAATGAAATCGGAACAATAGTCCCAGAGATATAGTTTATTCTAATCAACATCAGCCATCTTTCATTGACCGCCATTTCTATTAGCTACCGCTTTGAAAGGACAATCATGATTTTTTGGCATTCTAATAAATAATGAGGGCGGACCGAAAAGGCAAAAAAAATGTTAATCTCTTTTGTCATAGTAAATAAATTTGCAAGAAGGATACACAAATAAATCATTTTTTTTTCAAAAGTAATATTTTTGTTGTCATAGCAAACAACTGATAGGTATAACCTCACTTTTGCGCTGCGCCCCCGAGGGGTGAAAAGTTTTTGTTCCAAAGTGATTTATACCTATACAGCTCTCCGCTTAATTTGGAACTTATTATTCAAGCAAAACTCTATTAAATTGTTCCAAATTACCCCAGAACTCACCACGAAGGAATGGATACATATCAACAGTTCAATCCACCCTATCGCCACTGTATTGCACAACGCAAATACACTTACTAAGTTTTGCTCCATAAAGATGCAAAATATTGACCTTTGTTCTCAAACGAAGGCAACATTTCTCTTGCATTTAACTTCGCCCTAATGAATCCTTCTCTAGTGATCACCAAAAGCTTTAGAAGCTGCTTCAGTCGCTAGTTATACGCATATTTCCACGGTATGTGTGTGACATGGAAATCTAGGAAATGCAATTTTTCCTTGTTAAAGAAGCTCCAACTCTTCCACACTATACAGTTGTTAGTAATTGGACGTTCTGTGATAGTCGTACTGCTATGGAACCAATCTATTAGATCGATATAGTCAGCTGCTTCAATGTTTATTGCAGGAACACGTACATTTGGACTGCTCTCCTGGGCCTCAGCCCGGCATACTTTTAGTATACGTCTTGCAGCTACTTTTCTTATGTATTCCCGCTATCAGTTAGCATGTTTTCGGGATGGGTAGTCGTGTGACATAGTAAACATTGAAATAGGGGACCTAGATTACGGGGCAACAATAATCGTCTATTAAAGAGTTTGCTTTGGAAACCTTCTAGCTTTCCGGAAAACTATAAAAAATGAAAAATAAAGGAAACTGTCAAAAAATGCATGCACATACCCAACTTCCTTTTAAAGCGATTTTTCTAAAATTTAATGTGGATCCTTCAAATTTGATATGCGCATGCGCACACCCAACTTTCTTATTTGTGAAGGAATTTCTCTGAAGCGGCAAATAAAAAAATCTAATCACAGATGCTTCTAGCGAAGACAAGCATATCTCATATTGTAAAAATCAGATGTGTCAATTTCCTTATATATAGAGATATTTTTTTGAAATTTTAACCTATGCTTCTTCTACTATAGGAAACATATCGCATACTTTAAACATCAGGTGTGAGCTTGCGCAGGCTGCGCAATGCTAAGTTTCTTATTTATAAGAAAACAGATTTTCCTGTACACATAATTAGTCCGTTATATGAGTTTTCTGCAAGTACTGATGATTCATGGAACATGGGCTAAAGTAACTCCCCTTAAGGCGAAAACCTCATTTTCATTTTTTCGTTTTTGTTTTCGTTAAATTGGGCTTATCCTTTTCTCGTATTAATACAGTATCTACAAATTACCGAAAGTTCGTGGCGGTATTGACCATTTCCATTTTGTTGCATAAAGTCGGAAATGTGACATATCATGGAAGGTTTACGACGATTTATCGAGAAGGATAAAAAAATTTCTCCCGCAGGAAACTAGGTACCGAGCACCTAACCCTATTAAATCTAATTAATTGATAGTTGCTTTAGATTTTATTCATACAAGGCGATTCACGTAGTCCGTTCGTTAGAAGTTTTTAAAGTTGCAGTTGAAATAGAGACTTGAAATCTGGTTTACAGCCATAACTAGGGAATGCAATACCGGGATCGCGGGATCCCGAAATACCAGGATCCCGCAGCATTTTTGAGGGATTAATCCCGTACATAAATGGAGCGGGATCCCGCGGGATTTGCGGGACTGAGGGATTTGTCGACCAAGGGGACGACTCTGTTTACTTTGTTAATGAAACACTTAACGGAGAAGTTATTTTTTAAATAATTGTTAAACTTTTTTCGTTAAAAATGAGCTATGATTTTTGAAGCACTTTAGAAGTTAACCTTTTTGCGCTTTACAGGTGAGGTTTTTTTGAGTTCTAAGTTAGGCTGAACGTACTTTTTTGTTAAATATTGTGATAATTAGCGATTTATTTTAATACAGAAGTTAACCGCACAGAATTGCTTATTTGCGAATTGCGAATTGAAATATAAAATAACTTCAAGATAGCGCTCCTTCCATAATGATCCTACAGCGCCAGAAAATGAATATGGTTCTCTTGTGGGGCTGTCAATTTCTTGCAGCAAAAAGCGTAGGGGTAACTCATTGATGCACAACAAGACCACTGGAGGGGTTTACCAATTTTTAATTCAATTGCCCGTATTGCTCCTCCTTTCCATCATCCTCGCATCCAGTCAATGTCCAGGAGCTAATTTGCACATCGCGTTTTTGCAGGTAAAAGAGAATCTGCGCGGCTAAAAGTGAAAATATACCCACCAAATTTTGCGTGTGTCATAATTCCTGTTCTTTCTAGTATGAGAGATCCAAAGGGTGGAGAATTATTAAGAATTTTTTTATAAATTTGAAAAAAAAATCAGTTTACTTGTCTACCCTTCTTACAACTTTTTTTTATTATGGCATAGAGATTTCAAAAAAAAACATTGTTCGGACCGCTTTACTGTATAGTATAACAACTGTACAAAAGCATTATATTCCAAAGTAAAAGGCATGTCGGAGTATTACACTGTACAAAAAAAAGTGAATTTATAATTTAAAAAGTTACCCACCCTGAAAATATATGAAAGAAACGGGTACTGTTGAAAAAGGCTGTTTTGAGAGGGGCCGAAGTAATAAGAAGAGATTGCAGTCCTGGGAAGTAAACGAACAAAAAAGAACCAACGGAGGATTAAATTATAGGTTATGTTTAGTATTGGTGTAATCGTTTACCATCTTTGTCAACGTGTATGTAATAAGAGTGGGTAGGTACCTAATTTCTAAAAAAAACTGTTCTAATTAAATTTGTGATCACTACTTTCGTACCAAGTTAAAAAAATTGTAAGTTTTTGTAATCTTTTGTATTGAATAAATCATTAATATTTTTAGTATTCTGATGAAGGTTGCAATGCGAACCGAAATATATATAGATTTTACTAAAAACGGTCTTTACATTTGGCCAGTATTAAGTAAATACGTAAGATTTATTGGCAAATGACTGACCCAAGCACACGTAGCAACATTTTACAATATACCCAACGTAGGGGGAATTTTAAGGGCGTAACCAACTTTCTTAAGTGCATTCGCTAAGTCCACGAATGACGAGGGATTTTCCACTGTTACAGGAATCTAAAAATAAAATATATTAATGCATGGGCTGCAAGGATTACCTCGAATAATTGATCGTCTGCAAATTTAGAGATTAATTTTCTGCATATCTTTCCGGATCTTGTATGGGGCAAGTCTTTTATCGACACGAATAAGTGAAAATCCGCTACTGGGCCAATAGATCCGCGAACTTTAGTTATCAACTCCTTACCGATGTTGTTATCGTTTTTATCCATATCTAATAACAGGAAATTAAACGACATATGTACACGGTTTATGGCGTTACCAGTGTTACCACTTTGTCTCGTTATAAACAGGCATAGTGGAACTTGTCCCTTTATAGGGTCCGAAACTCCTACAACTGCAGCATCTGTTACATCAGGGTGGCTCATCACCACATCTTCTATTGCAGCTGTAGAAATTCGATGACCGGCAATATTAATTACGTCGTCCACGCGTGCTGTTATGTACACGTATCCATTTTCGTCAATGTAACCGGCATCCATAGTATAATAGAAACCCTAAATAATATATTTTTGTACAAGTCTACACTCTGGTACCACAGACTTACAGGATGCTTTCTGTAGTAAGTTTGACAAAACTTGGAATGTGCTTTGTATAACGTACTAAGCGTTCCAGGTGGTAAAGGTAGCTTAACCACTATATCTCCTATTTCGTTCGGTTTGGCTTCAAATCCAGTTTTTTTCAACACGCGCACTTTAAATAATCGTTACTTCGTAAGAGTTTTCGAACTTTAATACATACCATCATATCCTGGAAAAGGCAATCCCACGGTCAACTTAGGCGGTCGTAAGTCTTGATCAAATCCCACACACGTAGCTGTAATCGAATACCCGGTTTCTGTTTGCCACCACTGGTTTAATATAGGAATCCCGAACGCATTTTTTGCCCATATTCTAGTTTCGTAATCTAAATGTTCCCCTCCCAAAAACATATTCCTCATACTACTGGTATCGTATTGCTTCCCAATAAGGGAATGTGGATCTTCTCGTTTAATAACCCGTAAAGCTGTTGGAACCGTGAACATAGCATTCACGCGATATTTCTCTATAATTCTAGTAGAGATATTATAGATTTAAGTAAAGGTAGGTACTAAACTTATTACCGAAAATATTGACCAGCATCAGGAGTTCGAACTGGTTTTCCCTCATACAAAACACTTGTTAAACAGTTCACCAAGGGACCGTAGCACATGAAAGAATGTCCCAAAACCCACCCAAAATCGCTGGTCGCCCACCACACGTCATCATTCTCCATTCCGTACGTATGTTTGATAGACCACGCGACTGATGCTAAGCCGCCACCAACTGACCTTTGTACAGCTTTTGGATTATCTTGAAATATAAGAAAAATGTATAAAGCGGAAAGCTAACTACTTTGTCCACCTGTAGTTCCTGACGTATACAAAATGTATAACGGATCGTTGGCTTCAACTGAAACACAGGGATGAGGTCCACTACTATCTAAGACTTCATCCCATAGAGTATCGGTATTACGGTCTAACGTAGCTTTCTCTATGTTACGCCGTTCAAAGATTATGCATCTGCTAGGTTTAAATGAGCTACTTTTTAACGCGTCGCTGAGAATTTTTTTATAACTAAAAAATTATTTTTCAATTGAGGCCTACTGAACTTATAATACTTACTTGATAACTTTACCAGGTTCAATTCCACAATTGGCAGCAATAATTATCTTTGGAGTTGCGTGTTCTATACGGATGGCAAGTTCGCTAGCCGCAAAACCTATGAATGGTATCCTTATGTATTTATATTATACACGTTGATAACGAAAAGATATCTACCTCCAAATACAACAGAGTGTACGGCACCCAAACGAGCCACTGCTAGCATGGCTATAACAGTTTCAGGAATGACCGGCATATATATAACTACCCGATCGCCTTTTCTTACTCCAAATTTGCTGAGAGCGCCAGCCATACGTGAAACCTGCATAACTTTATTTAACACAATGGCCTAAACACTTTTTGTACCTTATCAAGAAGTTCATCATATGTCACCTTCTGAGCTGCCTGTATTAGTGGACTGTCGTAAATGAGGGCAACCTTTCTTCCTCTTCCCCCATGTACATGACGATCCAGTGCGTTGTAACAAGCATTTAGTTCTCCCCCGACAAACCTATTTTGTCTCTCATTTTTATATTATTTTCATTCAAAGTGTTCTCACCATTTAGTGAAAGGTTCATTAGAATTATCCATAACTTTTTTCCATGGTTTAGTCCAAGTTAGAAGTGTCCCTACTTCACTCCAAAATTGTTCCGGATTTTCAATGGACTTCCTGTATATCTCCCTATATTTCGGGTTTTTGCAAATATCTGAAACCAAGTTACATTCTACATGGGCTTTGAACTGTCGTAAAGATCAGTTAAGAGGTCGAGGTCGAGATACACCTTGAGAGCAATAGAAGCGTTGACTGCGAAAAATGTAGTAATTTTTTTTGAGTGTTTCGCGGTAGGCAATCAAGCATAATAATTCACACAACAAATTGGTGGCGAATGACCCTGCGAATGACTAATGGATTACGTGTGGAAAGGTTTTTTTCACCTGTAACTAATAGAAGTTTTTAGAAGAGATTGAAAAAGAAAATGGCGCTATAGGTACAAAGTCATTTTCCAGAGCAATAAATAAACCTGGGAATAAACCATCTGTGGTTAAATAAAAAATTAAAACGCGCCTATGAATTAAATATAAATCAACTTAAATGCGGATAGAAATGATTCACCTCCATTCAAATTCTGGAAGAGAATTTCGCAATTAATAAACAATTCATTCGAGACAATAAACTGTATACGGGACCGCCGTTGGAAACGTGCTCGTAAATTGCTCTCATTTTCATTCAGTTAAGGAGCCTAGTTAATTCACACTACGTACGTTTTCAAATCTCTGTTGTAGCCTTCGATTACATGAAAGACGCAAATATTTACGATCATCTAATCGTTCAATACTTCACTTATTTGGCGAATACATGTGAATCAAATGAAGAAACCACAGTTCCAAGGAGTCCATCCAAGGTATTTAAGCACAGAAGAAAGGTCAGTATTCCAGCTTTGCATCGAGAAAGAAACGATAAAGTCGTTTCGTCCACCCAATTACAATTAAGGTCAGATTTACTTTATGTCCAGTCAAACGAACTATTTGTCTTCACCCCTATATTATACAGGATGTTTATTTGAAAACTTCCCACCAAGGATTTATCGAAAACCATTGATTAAATGGAAAACCGCCGTGACACGTCAAAAGATTTGTCCTAGGATTTGTCAAGCGGGACAACTTTTTAACCAAAAACTACTTTACCTCCTTTCATCCTCTGCCCCCCAGGGTCATTCCCTTAAAAATTTTAAATGAGTGGTGTTGAGTAATAGCTTGTTTAAAAGGTCTTTCGGTTACGTGACGCTAATAAGCCCCCCAGAAACGATCATGAAATTGAAATAAATGGATAGAGGGCACCTTAAGAAAGCGTCTTCAATAAAAAAATCTGCGGAAGAGGCCCTAAATTTTCCACAATCTTAATTTAAAGTTCAATTGATTTCGTCGAAAGTGAGGTTATATTACTCCAAATTTCATGATTGTTTTTCAGTTGGTAGTGGTGTTCTTAACATTCCCGAGTGCCAACTTTAGTTAGTTTCTTAAGAGGTTATGTTATTTTTCCACGATTTAATTAACTTTAAACAATGATAAACAACGTTATAAATGTGTTTTTAATTATACCATAATAGCAGTAAGTAGTTCTCTACGTCATACATTGCTAAGCAGCGATTTATAAGGAAAAGGCGTTCCAAGTTAAGCGGTGATCGCTAACGTAGCTGCGATCCATGGAAAATGCGAGAGATGTTCCTTCCCCTCTCGACCGTATTAGGCGGTGGATGCTAAGTGGCGATTCATACAAAAAGGCCTGTATACGCTTCAAAAAGTGGTGTTATTAAAATGTATGTCAAATCGCTTATTTGGTGTTTAAGTCGAACAAAACCTAAAATTGTATTGTATATACCTGTTGTACTACTTTTATTACATTCTCTTAATATACACGTTAAACCCAACATATTTCATTTTAATAGACGAAGAAGTTAACATAACCTCCTACAAAAATTTGCTGTCACCTTTGTTTATTAGTGGAAAAAGAGCTGTCACGTAAAATTTTTCAGTTTCGCCAACTTAAGAATGACAAAAGATAAGTAAAATAACACCAGATTTCCAGAAAATGAGGTGAACTTTTAATTAAGATTGTGAAAAATTTAGGCCCTCTTCCGCAATTTTTTTTATTCTAAACGTGTTATTAAGGTGTCCTCTATTCATTTCTATCAGTTTCATGATCATACCTGGGGGGCTTATTAGCGTCACGTACCCGGTCTTTCGAAGAACTTTATTTTGACGTTTGATTTTTAAAATCGGTGGATTCGTTTTCAAGGAAATTAGAAAAATCTTTCCACTCTTTCCAGTGTGTAAACCATTTTGGAAATAAAATCTGAACCAATAAATTAATTTTCACTATTCCAAGATTGCCACAAACCTAATGACAGCAAATTAAATTCTTTCCTTCCCATAGCAACAAATAAGTGATATTTTGGTTTGTTTTTGTTTTCTATCTGAACAAATTAAGATAGGTCGATTAAATAACTTATAATAAAGATTTTTCTAATTTCCTCGAATGCGAATCAACCGATTTTAAATAATCAAACGTCAAACCAAAGGACTTTGAAAGACCTTTCAAACAAGCTATTACTCGATACCACTTGTCATTTAAAATTTATAAGGGAATCACCCTGGGAGGCAGAGGATGAAAGGGGGTGAAGTAGTTTTTGGTTAAAAAGTTTTCCGGCGGTTTTTCCTTTAATCAGTGGTTTTCGATAAATCCGTGGTGGGAAGTTTTCAAATGAATACCCTGTACATACCTATAACAACAATGTTGTGTGTTTGCTGAGAATGTGCTGCACGCATTGTCGCGCCGTCTCCAGGGCCGTCTCTTTAAAAATCGCGACTCATGCGTGAAAGAAGCACTACATACTTAACAAGGAAAATATTTAATAAAGATAGACCATAGTTCTTTGTCTATCACCGGCACCTTACATCTATTCAAAGGGTAGTAATAGATGTGTTCGTTAGGTACAGTCACGGTGGTATGGTACAGTGCAGAAGACCAGTCACAACCACTAATCGTTTGGGTATTAAGTACCATCATAATTCATAAGTGATACTTATTCAATGGTATACACGTATGAAAATTAGATTAGGTAGTGGTGTGTTAATAATGTTACCTGTTAAATGCAATTTGTCTATTAATTCTATAAAATGTAAAAACTGCCAAGGTGATCACTTAATATACCCATATACCTGCAGAGCGATTATCAAAGATACAAACACTAAAGCTTTGTTTTAATTGTTTCAGATCGGGCAATCGCAAATTGGGACACTCAACATCCAAACTGCACTACTTGAATGCATCAAAGTGCGGGTTTTTTGGCATTACAGTCCCAACTTTGGTGGGTTGTGGGAGTCTGCAGTGAAAAGCACATAGTTTTATTTAAAACGAATATTTAAGGATGCACTTCTAACATAGGAATAATTCAGCACATTTCCAATTCAAATTCAGGGTGTTGTTTGCATTATCCAATGATGATGAACGGTCGTTTCATTCTTAATGTCACACCTTTTATTTTAAAAAGTTCAATAACAAAATCACGGACAAGGGATGATGAATTTTATACATTTTGTGGTTGAAACTACCATATATAAACTTGAATAAACAGAATTTGCAATCGACTACCTTACAAAATTACAACCGTAAAATTCATACAGGCAGTTCACGTAAAACCTTTTCAAACCGAACAACTCATTAATTAACTATTGACTTGTTTTCTGGTGTATTGAATTGTTCGAAATTACTTAGTCCCACCGAATGAAATACCATTTCTTTCAATACTAGTAAAAATCGAATATGATATGTCGCATCTGAGTCATCGTCATAAAGGAAAGAAACGTACAGGCAATTTATGTACCTATCGTTTAATGTCTAATCACGGTTATGAACAGTGCGATCTAAAAGGAACGGTCGTTACGACATGCATGGCAAAACGCAAAGCTATAGCAAGTAAAAAATCTGAAAACTAATAAGATTATATTGTCAGTATATTAAAAGTAAACTGACTGATTGACTCGAATATTTTGAAAAAGGTAACGTACAATCATTGAATAATAATTCAGATTTATTATTCAATGGTACAATGAAAAATCGTTCATTAAATGTTTAAGTTAACCGTGATATTTAGGAAACGAATTTGTCGAAAACGACAGGGGTACCTATAATGAAAAGCTGTGTTGGAACGTGGAGCTACACGCACTTATGAAAGAGTTAATTTGTTTAGAATTAATTTGTTTAGAATCGAACGTTCATTGTTAAATGTTTTTTTATCTATACAAATGTTTTTTTTATCTATACAAATACTTTTTTTCTCTTTTCGGGTATACCATTGATATTATACAGCATCTGCAAATTTGACGTATGCAAACATATTTATACATTTGTACAGCACAAATATACATCTATTTATCTATCTATCTATCATTTTCAAATACTCTTATTTTCTATGGAGAAATATAACCGTATGTTGCATAGTCTGGATTAAATAAATAAATAAAAAAAAACGATGCTTTATCTTTCAAACTGGATGACTGCCACAGGGTTCTCAATTTTTTTAATTAAGTGAAAAAAAAAATTGGCACCTCCCGGGGCGCGGCTAGAAATTGAAATATATTAACCAAATTTTCTTTGTGTCAAAAGTGAAGTCATCTATCACTTTCTTGCTATCAGAAATCAAAAGTATCATTTTGGAAAAAAAATTTTTGAGCCCCGGGAGCACGGCTAAAAGCTTGTTTTTAAATTTTGAAAAAAGTACATGTCATTTGTGTACCCTTAATGCAACTTTCTTTTACTATGACAAGTGATATTTCTCGCCTTTTTTAACCCGGCCCGATACTACATTCTCGAGTTGCGTGATGATTTTTGTTTTGAATACATAATCAATCTGACCTACCTTTGGTATTTTGAACGGATTCAAATGTTTCTGGCCACTTTTCAAGTTTATTTGAAACTAATGATGACAGCATAATGCATAAATAGACAATGTACTTTTTTACATTAATCTATAATAATAACCATTAAAGTGTGAAAGCACTAGTGCAGTCGAAACGCACCAAATGTATATTATATTCTAAAAACGTTATGATTTCCTCTTGCGGTTTATTTCGTGAAACCATAATGCAGTAATTAAATAATTTATGAATCAATTTTCAAATTTGTTAATTTATCTATTCCGGTTGTTGCAGGAAGTTGATATTTACCAAAAACGCGGTTTTTTTAACTTGAACTTGAACTAGTGACTGCCAAGTAAAGGGAAATTTACACAATTGCAGTATGGATTGCATAAAAATATTTGCGGTTTAACCACATCTGCAATCAATTTTTTATGTACTAAAGGGTGGAAGTCAAGGTGGAAGTTTCATTCGCAATTTTTTAACGTGCCTAGAAAGACACTGCCCAGCAGATTTCTACTCCTGTAGTCGATAGGTACCACTCTAGTGGTAATGTTTCCTTTAGTGAATGAACATGATGACCACGGTTTATGCACAATATCCGTATTAAATACATAATATAACTTGCGGAATGTGACAGCGACAAGCAACATTGAGTGCCTAGTTCTGTCAACTCCCGATCAACCCGGACTCGGCGCGTGTTCTGTACTCGACATGCTTTAGCGGTGGGCGTGTAGTGATGTGATTGGTTGTAAGCGCTCGTATCCTGCAAATTGATGGTGAATTATGTGGATAATGTCTTGACACGTCTTGCGGAGTTAGACCCACTGTCAGTCTTATCATTTTATGTCAACATTAGTAAGTTAAATGATGATGATAATAATAATAATAATAATAATAATAATAACAGTTAAAAAACACAAATCTCCTTCTTCACATAAACACACCACGTTATCACAACCCACTCGTATTCAACCCAAACGCAAAGCCAAAGAAACACTTACACAATAAACTCCATTTATTAAAATTACAGGAATTATTATAGTGATTTTTTTTGTTTGGTTTTGTTTTCCTCTTTCCTGATAGCGTTGGCTATTGTGCCCATCAATAGGTATGTTGGTAAGTACGAATTACATAGTATCCCTAGATGTCCAATGTACGTGTGATTTTTTTTTTTTTTTTTTTTTTTTTTTTTTTTTTTTTTTTAAAGGACCCTACATAACTTCACCAGACACAGACACAGATACTAATCGTTACTTGATTTTAATCCGTGCGATTAGTTAACCAGGCTAGACCTGAGTTCTCACAAGAAACACCGACCATAATAATAATAATAATAATAATAATAATAATAATAACCAGGCTAGACCTGAGTTCTCACAAGAAACACCGATAATAATATAATGCACACCACGTTATCACAACTCACTCGTACTCAACCCAAACGCAACAACCTTAACAGCACTACAGGCTCACAAAATACTGTAATGTCTCCACCAATAACCCAAGCAACCACACAAATACAACCTCAAGAACAAAGAAACACCATAAATACAAGTAAGACAACATGCACCACAAAGACAGGTCCACCCAATAAAATTACACGTCCTACCACAGCTAAAAAACACAAAACTCCTACTTCACAGAAACACACCACGTTATCACAACCCACTCGTATTCAACCCAAACGCAAAGCCAAAGAAACACTTACACAATAAACTCCATTTAATAAAATTACAGGAATTATTATAATGATTTTGTTTTGTTTTGTTTTCCTCTTTCCTGATAGCGTTGGCTATTGTGCCCATCAATAGGTATGTTGGTAAGTACGAATTACATTATCCCTAGATGTCCAATGTACGTGTGTGATTTTTATTTATTTTTTTATTTTTTTATTTTATTTTTTTTTAAGGACCCTAAATAACTTCACCAGACACAGACACAGACACTAATCGTTACTTGATTTTAATCCGTGCGATTAGTTAACCAGGCTAGACCTGAGTTCTCACATGAAACACTGACCATAATAATAATAATAATAATAATAATAATACACAACACGCAGGTGGATATTTGCTTACGCGAATATCTTGAAGAGTGACGCCTTCACGTGTTCCTAGTCACCCCATATTCTTATGAAAATGGAGTTTAAACAAAGCCTCGGAAAAATGCCGCTACCTGAGGAGCGTCAGGGCACGTCTGGAGCTATCGCTGGGCGTTGCAGCATGCGAGCCGATAGTGACGAGTTGGTGAACAGGCGGCCGCTCGTCGGGATACCCGAAACTTACCTCTACAGCCGAAAGAAGACTACGAAGAGGACAACGACCACCTGAAGAGGACCGCCATGAAGAGACCTTTGTGCCTGCTTCTCAACCGCTTGTGGATGGGACCAGCGCAAAGGAAACCTCCAAAAGACGTATGAAATGGGACGAAGGGATGAATCGCTTCATTTTTGGTACGTATCTGGAGATCACGAAGTTGGAGACAGATAAGACAACATATAGAGGTAAATTACATCAAGCTTTCGTTAAACAATACCCACATTTATCACATTTAACAGAACAACGCATTGCAGACCAACGTAGGGTTATCATTAAAAATACACTCCTTACATTAGACACACAG